ATTATTGACTTTCTTTCACTTCAGCTTTAGCTGATGAATGGATGTTCTGACATTCTCGTCCAGAATGTGCTAATACAAGACTGAATTCAAGGCTCCATCAATGCTTATATCCCACCCAGGGCCTGTGACAGCAGAGCACCAAGCCCTGATATCCTGACTACCTTGCTGGACAGCTGGGACAAGGCCTTTCTGTTTGGAGGAAGGGTTTGGTTTTTGCCACAGATATTGTTTCTCGTTATGGGCAAAACGTTAAACTTGTGACCTCTCTGTCCAGACAACAATCTTCCAACCATCTTGTGGATTATCCAGATGCCCTTTGGTGGGATGGGATGGCAATGTTCTTTTCAGAGAGCAATGGTTTCTCCCTGGCCATCTTTCCATGAAAACTGTTCCCATTCAGCCTTTTCCTGATACCTGAGACAGGAACACTGACTTTAGCCTTTAGCCTAGCTTGCACGATCGTACACCCCTCCTCTTAAGGATGCTCCAGCCCTTCCTTGTTCTGTACTCATCTCCTGTACCTGCCTTCTGGTCCTATAAAAGCCAGACACTCACTCTGTTCCGGGCTCAGCATTGGTTCCTCTACCAGGCGAGTCCGGGACCTGGAGCGCCTGGTCCCGTCACATTGTTAGTTCCTGTTCCTGTGCCGGTTCCGACCCGATTCCAGTTTTTAATTCCCTTTGTCTTCGTCTTGGATGGACCACCCGTCTCTGGACTTCTGCCTCGTCTCGGATTTCCCTTCGGACTCAGTTTTGGACTGTTTGCCTCGGCCACACCCCTCCTGAACACCAGCTCCCCCATGGACACGCCCCCTATTCTCATTCCCGACTCCTGCATGCTCTTTTCCCCCATTTTTCCTCACTCATCCCCGGATTGTGTCATCTGCATAGGGTCCAGAAAGAACGCTTCGTTACAAGCTTCAATGTGACTCTGGGGTTCTTCCTGACTTCCTTGTTGATTGTCTGGGTGCTCTAAGGGGAAAATGCCGGCAGACCGACCTGTCCTGGATAGAATGCAGTCTTGATGTTTTCCATTTGTGTGCCTGGCAGGGGCTGGATGGAGCTCCAGGTGTTTAGAAACGGATTTGTAATCCCATCCCTTCTGAAGATCGTCACGTACTCTTGATCTGAGGTTCCCTATAATGTCTTTTGGTCAAGGCATGACATACAGTATTCCCAGTAATGTGCATGATGAAGACCACATTCACAAACCTTTTGACCATTGTATGGGACAGTACTGCCCAAGCTCACCTCTCATTTACTTGTTATTTACAATGATTTAACCACCTGATTCTATTTCTTAATTGTGCTAAGTGCACCATGGGTTCAGTTATTATTTCACATACTGTTTCTTAATTGGGCAGTACAATGGTGCAGTGGTTAGCACTGGTGCAGTGCTGGGGTACTGGGCTCAGTCCTATCTGTGTGGAGTTTGTAAGTTCTCCCCATGTTGTCCTGAGTTACCACATTCCAAAGACATGCTGGTAGGTTAATTGACCACTGGGAAATCTGGCCCTGGTGTGAGTGTGTGTGTTTGCGTCTGTATGTGTCCTGGGGTGGGCTGGCTTCCCATCCAGGGTGTATCCTGCCCTGTGCCCATTGCTTGCTGGGATAGGCTCCAGCTCCCCTGTCACAGTGAATTAGATAAAGTGGTTAGAACATGGATGGGTGATTCCTAATTATTATTTTTTACGTCTTTTTTATCCTCTTACATATCGCATGGGTAAATATCAAATCTTTTGGTTATTTAAGGAAAGACTGGTTTTGATGAAATGAGGTTACCCATCCATCCATAGTCTATCCATGTGTTCCACTTCCGGGTCGCAGGGGAGCCGTGATCCTATTCCGTCAAACCAAGGGTGCAAGACAGAGTACACCCTGGGCGGGACACCCCCCCATCACAAGCCAGCAGGGGTATCATGGCCAGAAACTGTGATTCCCAAGATTGTAATGGGGGTTCGCAGACTTGTTCTCTGCCCTGTGAATTGCACATGGTATTCATGCTGCTCTGGATTCCTTCTGACTTCCCAGGTGACCCAGCTAGAGCACCATGCTGTGCCCAGATTTCCAGGGCTTGTACTGCTAAGATAAACTTGCTCTGGCAAGGGTTTTTACTCCAGGGTTACAAACCCTGAAGGGAGACTGTGTTTCTGAGATGTGAGCTGTTCCCGCTTCAGATAACGTTGTGAAGACGTCAGACGGTTACCAGTGAACACTGCAGTAGCACTGCGTTAACGTGATACAGTAGACAGTATGCTGATGGAAACAGGACCCTGAAGTATATTGTGAAGTCGCCTTGCTTGTCGCACTTTCTTTCTCGGGGGTGTTGTGCATGTGTGTGCGGAGGAGCGGGGAGGGGGGCGTTATTACCCGCTCTCTTACAAATCACGGCGGAGAAACGGCGATCAAGACAGCAGCGTGGCGATCAGCGTCTCCTCCTCTCCCTGACAGAAAGCCACCTGTCGCAGGAGCGGAATGTTCTCTAACCTCCCCGCTGACGTCAGCCCCGGCCGGCAGCTGTGCGGTGCGGTGTACTGTATGTGTCACATACATGTGCCGTGGAGCCCTTAACCGCTACTGGGTAAACACGCACCGAGAAGAGGGTGGGGGGAGAGAAGGGGGGGGAGGGGGTGGACAGGCAGAGAGAGAGTGAGAGAGAGAGAGAGAGAGGAGGGAGCGCTGCTTGGCTCTTACAGTCAGGCGCTGGGTGGATGACAGGACCTGTAGACAGGCCAGCTAGGGACGGACGCACGGCCGCGGAGAGAGTGGGCGCTCTGCGGCGTTACCGCCCGTAGCCGAGACCAGCGATCCCCCGCTGTCTCCTCCGCGCCCGGACACAGAGGCGGCTCGGCGCCGCAGACGGGCCGGGCTGTGCGCGGCTAGAGGGCACCGGGACACCGACAGAGGAGGCTGTCGCTGCGTCTGACCCCGTCTAAAACTGAAGATCCGGCCCAGAGGAGAAGGGGCGGGAGGGGAGGGAGGAATCTCGTTCCTTCTGTGTTGCAAATCGTGCGCCGCGTATGTCTGATTTTTCCTCCCCCTTCTCTTCTCCTTCTCTAAACACGCAATGTAATCTGGATTAATAAAAATGGATTGTAACCGGCTGCTGGGGCCGTCTTCACTCTCCGTGCGACGGAGGGTCCGCGATTCTCGCTGCTGAAGCAGACCGCTAACGAGGCAGACAGATTTGCTCGAACACAGGTGTTCGTGAAGAATACATAGCAGATTAACCGGCTGGGATCAAGGACCCGAACACCATGTCTCATTCATACTCCTAGCTGAGGAAACCAGGTGGATGTTGCATTTTGGTATCCGTCTTCCTGTGATTCTTTTTGACATCAATGTTTTGTTTTGTTTTTGTTTTTTTCGGACGAAACTGAAGGTTGTTCAAAATAATCTCCGTAGCAACCAAACGACTGCGGCTACCAGGCTGATTCCAAGGTAAAAAAAAAAAACCTCTCTCGCTTTTTCTGACTCCCTCGCAAGTCGTTTTAATTAATAGCGTCTAAAAGCACACCAAAAAAAAAATCAGACTAGTCTTTTTATTTTGTTGTTTTTTTTTTCATAATGATGATATAGACAGCTTTGGCGGGCGTTTCGGCGCAAGCCCTGCTCAGAACAAAGTACGTGCTTACAGTGTGTTGTCATTTCCCCCTTTTTCGAGACTATCTGATATATCTGGCAAAGGGTGAGGGGTCAGAGCTCTCTCGCCTCCCGAGCCACGGCGGGCGAGCGGCTATCGGCCAGCCAGGAGACAGCGGGACCCCGGAGCGGCCGGAGGCTGGAGCGGGCTGCGGGCTGCGCCGTGAGACGCGGGCCGTGGGCCGTGGGCTCTCCTCCCGCAGCACAGTCCTTGCCCGACGCGGGGGACCATTTAAATAAGACACAAGCCGCCGAGACCCCCGCCCCCGTCTGAAACTGTTGCTTCCAGTACAGAAGGAGACTCGGAGACCCTGATACAAACGAAGACGACAGCAGTTTGTTTGTTTGTTTTATTTTCGCTCTGCTTTATGGTCCTCGAATAAGACTTGTTTTTCCCCTTAAAGAAAAGGAGAAGTACTGCTTTGTTTTGGATCAGCATGGTTCCGGGGACGCCGGCCGCCATGCTCCCCGCCCAAGAGGCGGCCAAAATCTACCGGACCAACTACGTGAGGAACTCCCGCGCCATCGGCGTCCTGTGGGCCATCTTCACCATCCTCTTCGCCATCGTCAACGTGGTGTGCTTCATCCAGCCCTACTGGATCGGGGACGGCGTGGAGACGCCCCAGGCCGGCTACTTCGGCCTCTTCCACTACTGCATCGGGAACGGGATGTCCCGGGAGCTGACCTGCCAGGGCAGCTTCACCGAGTTCAGCTCCATCCCCTCCGGCGCCTTCAAGGCCGCGTCCTTCTTCATCGGGCTCTCCATGGTCCTGGTCATCACCTGCATCGTCTGCTTCGCCCTCTTCTTCTTCTGCAGCACCGCCACCGTCTACAAGATCTGCGGCTGGATGCAGCTCGCCTCCGGTGAGTTAGCCTTCCGGAAATAATATTCATCATTATAATAATTATTATTATTATTATTGAAGGGGAGGGGGGTGTTTTTGTACTCTGTCATCCCTTGGTGGTGCATAAAATAAACCCACACCAGACACAATAATACCGCAGAGCAGGGAGCACTTGTGGTCTTGGCTGAAACGGTCGTTTCGCGGTCCTGGGGTCGCGGCCACAAAGGTGGAGCGACGCGCAAAGCCCCTTGTCTGGAAACCGCGCTTAAAATAACCCCGTGTTTCTGAATGTGAACGCAAGTGTGTCAAAACCGCAGACAAGCCGCTGTCGGATCCGGCAGGGGCGGCCTGCAGCCGGGTGCCTGTTGCCTGGGAGACGAGCGCCCGGGTCCCGCGACCGGACCGCATGCCTCTCACTCCCTCTCTGCCCGGGTGCGTGAGTCAGCGGCTGCACGAATAGATACTGTACCCCGGCCGCTGTGACTCAGAAAGGTGGTAAAAAGATATGCAAATAGGGTTATTGGGGAACATGGAGCCCTATTGATGAACCTGCTGACAGGAGCTGGTTATCTGATTGTTTGGGTTTCAGGAGGAGTTTCTTTGACTCACAGATTCCCGAAATGTTAGACGCCTCGGTCTACATTCGTAACACACATTTACGGACATTCTGCTTTAAGACCTGTTGTGTTTCCTGTGGAACTAAAACAAAAACCCGATGTTTTAGAAGTCCCAAAAAAAAAGCCCTTCAGAGTGATGATAAATGTATAAGTCCAGGACAGAGCAGTTCAAACGACGCGTTTGTGGCGTGTCGCGCCAAGAGATGGCGGCTGCCGGTGTGAGGACCATGATCAGTAGTTGGTGTAGCACGGCAGGGTTTGTGAGCACCTCTGTGCGGGCTGGCGAACAGCAGAGCCAACCCGTGTCTCCAGTCTGCGTCTGTACCAGTCCGCAAGTCACGTTGCGGTGTGTAGTTTTCCTGGAGCTTGTGTTGACAGTTACAGACACCTGTGGAAGTGGACTGGACATGGGATCGCGTCAATTTGTGCTCTTGGTAAAGTACGAGATTCGCGCAGAAGCCGCGGACGGTGTAAGATAACCTGTCTTGAGCATTTTTTTTTTTAATTTAGAAGTTATTGCTAGCGGTTATTTAGCAGTTCTTGCAGCTACATTAAGGCTGGTATCCCGGCTGGTACTCCGGGACATGTACAGCACTTGTGCCCGCTCCCTGCAGTCTCAGCAGCCAGCGTGTCAAGAGCTGTCCGTGGTGCTGAACCGGTTAGCTGCTTGTTATTCTGCAGGACCCAATAAAAACAAGGTTCAACTGCATCCTTCAGTCCGTGTCTCTGATAAATAGGTAGCGAAACCTGTCACACGTAAAAACAGACAATGTTAAACGACAAATTTTCCCTTTCGCCAGTCTCCATTCAGAACCCACGCATACCCTCCTCAGCTGTTACAGCTATCCTAGAAAACAGCACGGATGATTAGCAATAGGACAGGCGATGTTTAATCACTGGCAAAGCTGAAAAGATCCCCAGAGACTTGAAAGTCTCCTGAGCACAGACATACAGCCACAGAAATCAGTATGCCTCTTCACAGCCCGTGCCTTAAACTAATCAATTCAGCAGAAATCGTCCCATTTTCGCGGATGTTTAAAGCATCCGATAGGCTTGGGAGCAAAAGTTGTTGTCCAATAATCATTTTCCCAGCAACAATACACAGATCAGTGCAGAACGTTGCTGGAGATGATGCAGCCTGCTGACAACCACATGTCTATGACTGCAGATCACATTACCGAGCCTCATCATCACCAGAGCAATCCAGAGCCTTTCTGCTTCTTTTCAATTAGAAAGGACTATAAAGGCACACTGAGAATAGGGTCTGTGTGCTGTAGGCCATTCACAACACTTAGGAAAGCTTGTGCTGTGTTGCAAACTTCCTTTAAGTGCTCTTACGAAGATAACGTCTTGGTACCCAATTAGAAACGTGCTGTTGGCTAACCAATGCGTGTTTTGACCCATGCCTTCATATAGAGTTAAGAAGAGAGGACATGAGAGTAAGAAAGCTCACACATGAGCGGATGCCATTGGGCCATCTAGCCTGTGTGGTAGTTTGTCGTTAATTGATCCAGAAATCTCATCCGGGCCAGTTCTCGGACGAAGCTTCAACAACCTGGCTTGGTCTTTTGTTCCACACTCCCACAACCC